GCTAAAGGTACAGCTGCCGCAGTCTCCACTGGATTAATTAAATCACATATGCTGATATAAAAGCTGACAGGGTTCCCATAGGTACTTAAAAAAGTCTTAAATTCACTTTGATCAAATTTACAGTCATAAAAAGTCTTAAATATTTGAAGTGGTATAACAGTCTTAATTATCATTTTAAAAGGCCTTGAATTATGGCCACTATGCCATATCATTTCAATTTCAGTGTGATTGTGTAGCTCTCATTTAAACCAGTTAAAGATAATCTTACCAGTCCTACCTGACAGCGACATGATGTTTTTTTATTTGTTTGTGTGCTCTAGGAGTCTGGGACAAGGTTCTTGGGCCCGTGGCCGAGAGGAGGGCTGAGACAGGCATGCTGAGACTCTTCCCCATCTATCTGAAGGGAGAGGACCTGTTTGGACTCACCATCTCAGCAGTCACCCGCATTGCTGAATCAGTAAGTACAATCAACCTTAGTATCACTCAATGCATATTGTAGAGTGAGATGTCCAGTTATGTGCAGTTCGTTGATTTGTCACTGTATTGTAGCTGCCGGGTGTGGAGGCGTGCTCGAGGTATCGATTCCGTTATGGACATAATCCCATGTTGGTGCTTCCACTGTCCATCAATCCATCTGGCTGCGCTCGTTCTGAGTTGCAGACGTACCCCTATCATGAGAGGTCAGTAGCTGAATATTGTAAAAACAGTATTTAAGTATTGTGAAAAATTAAGGTGTGGTCACATCAACAAAATTGCAGCGAAATTGCTTGTGCAAAATCAGTTTCTGCTCGTCTTAATTTGACCCTCTTCAAATGGTCTTAAAGTATAGCAGAAAGTGTTGATTAAAGTTGTGGCATTAAATGTTGCATACACTGCAAAGAATAAATATCTTCATCAGTATTTTTGTCTTGTTTTCTAGTTCAAATACCTAAACATCTTTAAGTCAAGATACACTTACTTGAGATGCAAAATTAAGATTGTTAAAGCCTTGTTTTCTGATAAATTTAATGAAATTGAGCTGATTTTTCTGACCCCATCGGCAGATTTGTTCTTGTTTTAATTGTAAACACTTCATTTTAATACATTTCTCAGATTACAAGACTTTCTTGTTTTGTCATTTTGTTTCTCAATGTATCTTGATTTAAGAATCTTTAGATATTTGTGACCCTGGAGCACAATACCAGTCTTAAGTCGCTGTGGTATATTTGTAGCAATAGCCAAAAAAACATTGTATGGGTCAAAATTATCTATTTTTCTTTTATGCCAAAAATCATTAGGATATTATCAGATTATGTATAAATCTCAATTTCGAGAAATTGACCCCTATGACTGGTTTTGTGGTCCAGGGTCACATTTGCACTTGAAAACAAGACAAAAATACAGAGGAAGAACATCATGTTTTTGGACTGTGACCAGAAGACAGACACAGTAAAAGTTATTTCCGTATTCCTATTTTTGCTTGTAAAATTGATTCAAATATGAATTGAGGAATGGTTTGAAGTTGTGTTTTCAAACTGTTGCTAATACATCTATATGTATTATGTAAATGATGATAGTTCATGTAGATGAACTCTAGACATTTACATTTAGAGAACATATTGATGTATTGTTCCCTTCGATTTATTACTTAAATTGGTCTTAAAATTGGTCTTAAATTTACCTTCATAAAACCTGCAGAAACCCTGAAAAACAGGTCCATTGTCATTGTAAATAGCATAGGCAAATTTGAGTGAATATGAGCACAATCTGTGTGAGGAACTTGAGGGCAAAAAAGGGCACGTGTGAAAAATTCCCTCGTGCAGATATCAGTCATAATTTAGGGGTGGACATGCAAATTTGCTGCTTATTCCTATTGAAATGAGGAACAGAACTAATGTTTTCTTTCTCTGTTTCTGTCATTGTCTCCTCACAGGCTGAAGATCCTCTCCGCGTGGTCCAGAACATCTCACTGCATCCAGAACTCAATGAAGGCGGAGAGGGGATCATCTCACAGCAAGCACTTTGTGCACTCTAAGTCATCTCAGTACCGAAGGCTGACCAGCGACTGGAAGACAAACGTGTATCTGGCACACTCTCGCATCCAGGTGAGTCCATGCACACAAGCCGCTTCGTGAAGAGCAACATGTTTGATCATCTCACCGGTCTGATGCATATTGGCAAAAGCTGACTGAATTGGCCATGTTCAATCAGACTGACTGAAAAGGAAATGTTTGAAGGGATTCAGATAGGCCTTGAAATGCTCGGTGTGCCTCGAGTGACTACAGTTTCTGTCATTCGTCTAAGAGCATCTTAATGAAAAAAATGTCTCTTTTAAGCCTGTGTTATTGGCATTCCTCCCTCTGGCACAGTTGTGTGGTCATCTAAAAGAGCCACAGCTGATCAAGTGTCACTTCCAGTTCCCTGCCGTGCTTTTTAAAACCACGCAGGCATAAAAACAGCTAAATCACTGAGACATACCTGATGTCTCATTCTGTCAGCTGTACAAAGCTGTGTCTATTAATTGAAGCCGTGTAGAATGCAATGTACATCTGTGTGTGTGTGTGTGTATGTGTGTGTGTGTGTGTGTGTGTGAGTAAAAACAGTGATATTGTGAAATATTATTTAAATTTAATATAATTTATATCTATATTAATATATATTTAAAATGTAATTTATTCCTGTGGTGCAAAGCTGAATTTCCTGCAGCCATTACTTCAGTCTTCAGTGTCACATGATCCTTCAGAAATGCTCAGTTTTTTCTTATTATCAATGTTGAAAACAGTTGTGCTGCGTAATGTTTTTTGTGGAAAGTGTGATTCATATTTTTTTATTTTTTTTTTTAAATACTGCCCCCAAACTTTTGAACAGTAGTGTATCAGGACAAACCCCCCAAAATTTTTAACTTAAACTTTATCCCACACTGGTTGTGCTATGGAAATTAATTATACCTCGTTAATGATACCCCTGCTTTTGCTTTTCTATGAAATGTGAATTACAATTTTATAAGGCTGTGCAAAAAATCGAATGCGATTTTCATGCACATCTCGTCAGTAAAGCCGCTTCTGGTGATTAGTAGTAAATCTCCAGCACGTGCTTTCAGATGGAGCGGCATTTACTACACAGAGCCGTAGTTCATTGACAAGCTACACAAAATCGCGTTCAAAATCGTTTCATTCAAAATTCATTGCCGATTCGCATTCGATTTTTTGCACAGCCCTACAATTTTATGTAGTTAATGGCATTGTGTTTGAAAAAAATTGCTGCTGAAAAGTTCAAAGTGAGCTCTAGGAAATACGTAGTAATGAAATTAATTAATTTGAATGAAATTTATCCCGTAGGTACATCAATCATTCATGCTCACCAAACTGTGTGGCTGAGGTTGTGACATTTGAGCGGGGCCACAAGATCATCATCAGTGCCGCCCGCAGGATCGAGAGGGGAGAAGAGGTAAGGAAAGAGGGAATTCATTAAGAATGAACTGCACAACTGAAAGTGGCATTCATTTTTATGCACCCTAAACGAAATATGCACATCAGGTAACAGTGCAAACATACCTGAAAAATTTGCATTGGAATGCACTAGGGTTGGGCCGATAGACCGATGGCTGATAGACATCATGATGTTGAGCCGGCATCGTGATACCCCCACGCAATCCGCCGCATCCCAATACCGTGTTCGGAAAGAAAATGACGTGTATACGAAACCCCTAAAGGGAATAAATACAAGATGGGAAGAAAATATATATTTCAATATTTTCTTTCACAGTTATATCATTAGGTAATTATACTACATATACAGTATATTTCGGGCATCAGGGAGCCGCTATTATACCTGACATTGAAACTGTGCTTTTGAATGCACAAAAGCATTAAAAAAAAATCACTTTTTAGTTTCGCTTTCACTTTCGAGATTCGCGATCACACGTACTCTGTTTATACTATGGAGCAGCAGTACTTACCACACATTTTTACAAGATTAGATGTTTGTCAGTGGTGCTGAGGATCTGCAAATCATTCGCCATCGTCCTCACTCATCTCTCCTTACTCTGTTTATGTGGCAAGTGAAATTTTATGTACTGCAATGTAACAGGCAACCGTTACACCGTGTCTACACCGGACGCGACAGTTGTCGTGTCGTGCCACGCCGCATCTACACTGTATGCGACAAAGCGACTGTTGAAAATCATTTGAAATTTGTGTCAGCACGTCATAAATAGAACGCGGCAGCAGTTTACTGTTGGGGATTTGTCGTGACGCGCTGCATCCAGTGTAGACAGCATCACTGATTATAATGAGTTCTATACACAGATCTATATATAATGAATCTCTATTATAGATCAGTGGTTCTATAGTATTTTATCACCCCGCTCACGTCCGGTGTAGACACGGTGTTAGGAATAGTAATTTGTTTTCTGTGCCATATAAGGATTGACGCTTCGGGCACACCCCCTAACTCCAACCAGCACCATGTGATGATGTCATTATGTCAGATTCAGTTAGACCTATTGGACTGCGCCATCTAGAGTTTCATATATTTGGCACTCATTTAAAGGAGTAACCCAAAAATTAACAATAGAACAATAAAGATTTTTAGCTGAAACCGTGGTTCTTGGTGAAAAAAAATTGTATACAAGTTGATTTTTAAAACAATAATTTAATAATACTGTTAAATGACAGTACCGGCCTTCCTACATACTATACTCTGACTGTTCAACACCATTCTGATCCAGACAGCTGAAACAGCCCTTTAAAAAGCACTTTAAAGTGCTCTCGACTACATCGCATAATGCTCTTCTTGATCATATGACGAAATACTGAATAAGGGCAGATTTTTGAAGTGTCTGCTGTCATAAGAACTAGTGCAGTGCTTCTGGTTTGAAATTTGAACCACCTCTGAATGATTTTGTTGCAGCTCTGCTACGATTACAAGCTCACCCCAGTTTCAGATCAGAGCAAGATCCCATGTCACTGTGGAGCCGCCAACTGCCGCAAGTGGATAAACTAACAAGGAGTGACACCAACAACAACTCAAACAACTCTGAGGTGCCAATTTACCAGAGGAGACGTGCAAAGAGGAAACAGCCAATCCTGGAAAATGTCGTAACGGGCGATCATTTTTTTAATGTGCAAAACTAAGAGGAAAACACAACGTGAGAATACAGCATTGTGTGAGAGCCATTCGTATCATTTCTTGACTTGAAAGGAAAAGGTTCTGTTATGTGCATGTGCCATGAGTCTGTGTGTGTCTGTGTTTGTCAGCTCGAATGCGTGTGCGTCACACGGGGCAGATTTCACCAGCGAATGAGGACGGAGAATGAGCGCGAGCACTGTGCCGGGTATTGCCTTATAGGTTGATGGAGGGGCAGGCCCATCTGTATGACGAGATCTGTAGAGACTGAACCGTAGAAATCAATGTAGAACATCACTGAAGAATGTACGGAATTGACTTCCGCAAAGGGAAAAAAACATGTTGCACTAAAAAAAAGAAAACAAAAAAGAAACAGAAAACAAAATGAAAAAAAAAAAAAAAAAAATCAAAATACTTGATTCCATGAGTCAGTTTTATCCTAGATATCTCTCATTGTTTAGTGTAAGAAAATAAAGGTGTTTTGTATTTATTACTGTGTGAGTGAATGAATGGGCTTATTTTTAAAAGCGGTTTTATGCCGCTCAAAAGGAAGCCCGACTGCGATTCTTGCA